TACCTATCTATCTTTTATTTTTTACTAGAAAAACTAACTTTCCATTTAAGTTTAAGTTGGCGTTCATTTTTTTATTTATCAATTAATATAGAATGGCAGTGCCTTATTGAAAAATTAATACTGACTAGTGGTAAGTAATGAGAATCAAAGATATTAAATAAAAATATTTTTTTAAAAATAATTCTTGATAAAAAAATCAATTTATACAATATTGTTCTAGAATTCTTGAGGAAAAAAGAAGAAGAAATTATGCGAAAACAACCATCTTCAAAAATCGATCCGCTAATCAACCACTCACCATGATACTTACAACCCGATAACATGAGCACGACTGCTTCTTCAAAACCATGGCAAAGAAAGAACCCTCAGACGAGACCAAAAGAACTACATAACATGGAGGGAGGCGATAATTCATTTCACAAACATGATGTGAATTTATTTTTTTCAATAAAAAATTGATTTGATTGCAAAATTTAGGAGAAGATATTGAATATGAGATGAATAGAAGAGTACTTGAGATAGAGAGAGAGAGAGATTTCAGAAAATTGATTTGATTGCAAAAGTTGTAAAGACAATGATGATTCAAAGATATTTTATGGTAATTAAGCTGTAATCAGTATTTATTTTATAAAAATTGATAAATATAAATAAAAAAGTAAAATATTGGATGGAGATATTTTATTATTGTTTAAGGATCATGAATTTTATTTTTTCTCTACTTTATACATTTATTTCTATAAAAAAAACCACATTAAATAATTAATATAATGTTATTTATTACAGATAAAATTTCCTGATAGTTTATTGTGCATTGAACAATTTTTTTTAAAAAAGTTTTGATGATTAAGCTTTATTTTCTTATAATTTCATTATTTCATGTCATGTTTGTGATATTTTATGTTTTAAGATTTCTTCTTTGTATATAGTTTTTAGAATTTAAGGTGTTTGATCTGATTTCAAAATATAATTGGAGGCCAACGTAATGTAATAAAATTTATATTTGTAATAAAAAAAATTAAAGAAGATAAAAAAATAAAAACAAAGAAAAACAACATGAATTTTGCAAATTTGTTCGAAAGTTTCTCCTTTACTTAATTTTGTTCCTTTTAATTTTAGAATTTTATGTTTAGATCTTAAAATTTACTTTATATATATATATATATTTCAGCTTATGATCTTGAGAGAAAAAACATTTCTAGTTAACCATATCCATGCAACAAAAAAAATATAAAAATATTTTTCTGTCATTAGGTTTTTTTAACAAGAAAAAAATCATTCAAGTGTTTTGAAACTTTTATTTTATTAAGAAAAGTTAAAAATAAATTTTTAAATTTCCAAATCTAGAACTGGGAATTGAAATCTTTATTAGAATATAACGTGTTATCTATTTTATTTAAAAATAGTTTGCAACATATTATTCACCATAGGGGGTTGTTAGACCCCACACACCTAGGCTGCTTTATATTAGGTGAAGTTAAATACAATGATTAAAATTATATTCCATTAAATGTCATTCAATTTTGCCTTTTATTTTCAAATAAAATTATAGCTTTTTAGGGTAATATTAGTAATGATTTCTTTAATTACTATATATGAACCTAACATGTATTTTTTTTAATTGTGATCATGAATATTTAATGAAAATAAAATTTATATTAATTAGGCAAAATTAATATAATCAAAATGCTTGAAACTCATGAGGTAATATATTAAAGGACTAAATTGAGGGGTTTTTTTCTTTTTCTTGAAGGGGTATAAGAGTAATTAAGGTGGTGGTAAGCTCAGACCAGAACTGCTTGAATTTGAAGCATTGGAAGGTCCGAACGGTTACCTACCTTTCACGCTTTCACACCCGCACCCGCACCCGCACGCGCACCCGCACCCGCACATGTCTGGCTATAAGCAAATCCTTCTCGCCCGGTTCTCCCTTCTCTCTGTTTCATTAAAATTAAAAGCCAAAAAAAAACCCCCTGCTCTCTCCCTGCTAGAGGAAGAAAATAATGGCAAGCAGTGCAGCTGCGAACTTGGAAGATGTTCCATCAGTGAATCTCATGACTGAGCTACTCCGACGCATGAAGTGCTCCTCCAAACCCGACAAGCGTCTCATTCTCATCGGTTGGTATCATTTTCTACACTTCTCTTCGCTCCCCTCCTCTCCCCACACAATACTGTGTTTTGTTTATGTGGCATGAACTGCAATGCCTAAAGTTATGGTCTTTTTTGGTTTTTAATTTCGTGGGGCATTCAGATCCGGGAATTTTTTTTCTTTTTTGTTAAGATGTTTCAATTTTTCTGTTTGTATTTTTTGCTTGGTTGTTGAGGTAATTGAGGAAAAAGAAAAGAAGAAAAGAGCTCTTGTTTCTGTGGCTTTAGTTGAGAAGTGGGTTTTGGTTTTTGCTTGTTCATAAAGCTGGAAATTTGAGAAGAAAGTAAAGGAAATCTACTTCACGGTGGCAATTTTAAACGTGAGTGATCTTTGAGGCTTTTGTGCTTTTAGTTATATCGAGATGCAGTGTTTGGAGAATGCACAACTAGATATTAGTTTTATTAAATTACTTTGTGCCCGCTTTGTTTCGTCAAGCAGGTTTTGGCAATCTTTGACCGCTGTTTTCAAATTTGAATTCAAGGATGATAACGTTACATGATAGGAAGAAAATCCACAGCGTTTAGGGCCATTTGTGTTTTAAACAGTCAATGCTCTGAGATCCACTAGATGGAATTTGACATTTCTTGTTAAAAGGGGGCTGTTTCTAAAAAAGTATATCGAAATATTTCTTTTTGAATTTACAGAGTTCACAGATGCAAAACACACCGAACACAAATATATATGTATTCATTGTACTACCTGACTGCTTACCTTTTAATCAGGTAAAGGAATGATTTCTTGGCTGGAATATTTGGTTTTTGAGTTCAACATGCACGATGGTTTTCGCTTTTTATTTTTCGTTTCAGCCCCTTGAGCATGCTACCTCTGCTGTTGCGGTTTTGCTAGGATTAATATTCTACCTTGATTTTATGGTTAGACTGATAACTTCAGATCCAAGATGTTTGTATAGGAGAATACTGTCGGTACTGCTTAATACCCCTGTAATTGACCACCTCAATACATTCTCATTTTGTAACAAATGCATGTTTACTTATTCATATTATTTGGTGAAAACTTTCAACTGATTTCAGTATTTTTGTTAGCAACCAATCAGTCAATTAAACCATAGCTTCTGTCAGAAAGCTTCCATCACTGCAAGTAATTTCTTAGTTTTGTGATTGGCAGGCCCTCCTGGATCAGGAAAAGGTACTCAGTCACCAATCATTAAGGATGAGTACTGTCTGTGCCACTTGGCTACTGGTGACATGTTGCGAGCTGCTGTTGCTGCTAAAACCCCTCTAGGGATTAAGGCTAAGGAGGCAATGGACAAGGTTGAAATTTCATCTATTTTTATATTCCCTGGTTCTTCTTTGGTATTCTTTCTTTTTCAAAGTTTCTACTGGATTCAACTAATGGAAGAGTTTCATATGGTTTTCTCAGGGGGAACTTGTTTCCGACGACTTGGTTGTTGGGATCATAGATGACGCAATGAAGAAACCTTCATGTCAGAAAGGTGTCATTCTAGATGGATTTCCTAGGACTGTGGTCCAAGCAGAGAAGGTGCCAAACTATCAATATCTAATTGTGTGCTTGTATGAATGTGAATAAATACATTCATCAACAATGGGTGTGTTTATATGTTTCTAGCATTGGATATTTTCAATTGATTTTTTGTAAATGCTTCTAACCATGAATTGCTTACTTTTTATGTGCAGCTTGATGAAATGCTTCAAAAGCAGGGAGCTAAAATTGACAAGGTGCTTAATTTTGCAATCGATGATGCAATTTTAGAGGAGAGGATCACTGGCCGCTGGATCCATCCTTCCAGTGGACGAACATACCATACAAAATTTGCGCCTCCCAAGGTTCCTGGTGTCGATGATGTAAGGAAACATGAATGATCCTTCATTTACATATTTTTTTAATCACATTTTATTTAATTGGATTTTGAAGTGCATATATTGATGCTGGGAGAATGTAGTGACAAATAAACTGGTTAATGAGTGCACAATTTTTTTTTAATAGAATTGGATATTTTTCAAATATGCTAGTCTGTAACATCAATTGTGAACAGTACTTGGTAATTGTGATCTCCTGCACTTGATGTTATTCTTACATATTACCGTTTGTCAATACTTGGGCTGAGTGGCAGTGTTCTGGTTGTATATTTGTAGACTGCTATTGGACAGGTTATTAAAAAAAAATTTATTTAAACAACAGAATATTTGAAAATCAACCAAAAAAAAAAAAAAATTTAAACAACAGAATATTTGAAAATCAACTGCAGTTTTTAAAACTGTTAATTTTCATTCCAAGTTTGATAAGGAGTTGATTATGTTAAGAGGAGGTAATCTAGCCATTGGTTATCCATCTTGAGCAAAATTGTGGGATTGGGTACTTTTTGAGAGCCAATTGAAAATTGTTTGCAGGGAAGCTATTTGGCACCACATATTTGAGGTGTGTTGTTTTTGTGGATAGATTATTAATCTACAAACTGTGCCTGCTGCATCATTGCAATAAATGTTCACGAACTTGCTTCTTCTTTTGGTTTCTTGAAGGTAACTGGAGAACCTTTGATTCAACGCAAAGATGATACTGCAGCTGTTCTTAAGTCAAGGCTAGAGGCATTTCACAGGCAAACTGAGCCGGTATGCTTTTTGCTTTTTATCCATGTGAAAATGATGCATTTCTTGCTAAAGAAGTCCCTGCTTTGGGTAAGGAAAGAATGGCTTGTGGAGATGTAGATTTTTAAAGTAAGACAATTGATTCCTAGCTGATTACAAGAAGCCTAGTACAAAAAGGAATCTATTCCTAACCAGTAAGCTTTATTTCATTACCTTGGTGACACCACAGTGTTGGATTCAATTATCTAGTCACCCATGGAAAAATGGACTAGGATCCAACTCCTGTTCGAGTATTTTGGTGATGGCACTACATGTCGGTAGGGGGCAAGAGAAAGATGCCTTTAAGCCATGGACGGGAGAGTACTAGAACCAGGGTTTTCTTCTCCCTACATAGGACAGCTATCTTCTTGGGCCTTTGGTATTATATTTATTTATAAGCACAGAAAGGTTTCTTGGCTGGCCTGTTCACAAGCTATCTTTTATGAACACGATAAAAAATGTTCTTCCTCAATTCTATCAAGTGTCAAGTCTCCAGCCATCACATGTTAATATGCCGTTGTGTTTTGCACTGCAACTTGTGCTTGTGGCCATTCATCCTAGGGCCTCCTCTTACACATAGTATTGTGATAGTATAAAGTTCTCTCATGGAAATGGATCTTGCCTTTGGAATAACACAAGTCCTGCTGGATTTCAATTAGGTTTTTTGGAAATATTACCTTATAATATGGCTGCTTATATTAAGTCATTGAGTAATGATGATTACCAAGTATCTGGATGGTTATGGAGCCCACTTGAATCACCTCTTTGGTTTTAGCACCTAGATTTCTTCTCCATTGTTAATCCTGCCTGTGTCTTGCCACTCACTGTATATTATTGTCCTCTTAGTTAGTGCCCTAATGAAATCTGATGGTGTTCTGGATGCTTGGAATGCAGGTTATTGGTTATTATAAGAATAAGGGTGCTGTTGCAGAGCTTCATGCAGAGAAATCGCCAAAGGAGGTTACAACTGAGGTTCAGAAAGTGCTTTCCTCATGAAATTGGGGCCCTTTGGACTCGTAACATATTATGTCCCTTGGGAATTCAGCGGATTTTGTTTTCATTGTATCAAACATGTTGTCACATACGCTGATCATTTTGCTTTCCTTTCATTTTATTTGCGAATTGCCGGCTGCCTTTTGTCACTGAGGAAATAACCGAGTACACATACAAAATAAAAGATGCTACAGGGTTGGCATATGTTTTTCTCTCCTTTATCACTGTTGGTTTTATCAGTGGAGATGCTTTTATGCAGCTGGGTTTTTCGTTGCGGAAAACAGTGGATTCATCGTTGTCAATTTTGGCCGCCTCTTTTGTTGCCTCCCATTCTCTGAAAACGCTGCAAGTTGTCACCACCCTGCTTCCAATCTTCTTGGACCTATACTTCTCCAAGTATTGTTCAAGCTGTCGTTATCACCCTTGCCGAAAAGGCTAATAAATTCAAGCAGCCATCAGAGTTGGGATGAGTGTTTGGGTTTATGAGGTGAAATCCTAAATTACTTATTTACCGAGTTAAAGCCAAATGGGTTTGCTCAGCCTGAATGTGCTTCTGAAGCTTCTGCATGATACTTTCCTCTTAAAGCTACCACATGTAGAAGCATGCTCGTTCAGATGTTAGATAGTGTTTATTTACAGTAGCTTTTATGGTTAGATACCTTTTATAGTACTAGCTTTTATGGTTAGATACTTCTATAATTTTAATATGTTTGATTAACTACAAACCATACATTTTAATTGTTGGATCCACAAAAACTTGTCTTCCAACCGCAGGCCATGCAAAAGCCACTCACATTTGTTTTTAAGTGTAATCATTGTTAAAAAAACATGATTTTATTTTTTTCCTCTTCAAAATAGCCTTGTTTGGTTTTTTCTTCTCATCAAACTTTTCTTTTCTTGCTCTCTCCAGTGTGCTTACCTCTCTCAACCTCATATAGACCACACACCGTCCTTTTTTTGAAGTCGACTAGAGATCTCAACTATCATGGAAAATATTTGAATTTGTTAACAGATCTGTTGCTTTCTCTTCTCATCGATCTTTTCATACTTTCTCGACTGTGCTTCCCTCTCTCATTCTAAGCTCAGACGGACCTTACACATTCCCTTTTGTTTTGTAGTCGATTCCTCACTCGCTCTACTATTCTTCCCTCTCTCATCCCAACCTCACACAAACCGCACCAGTCATCTTTTTTTTGTAGTCGATTGGAGATCTTGGCCATCCTAACAATCTGCCAACAGGTCTGTTGTCTTTTTCAACTCTTTCCATTGTAATATGCTTCTTCGTAACCCATTGTAAAGACACATTAATATTATTATGATTTTTAGAATAATTTTCTTGTGAATTTCTTTTAAAAACTTTATGTAACACCAGATCTATCACAATAACCATGCCCTTCTTCTTCCTTTTATATAATTTATCTTGTTTTGTTTTAATTCAGAAATCAATGAGCTGACATCTTTGTATTTTTTAAAGAATAACAAACTTCTAATTTGTGTTGAGACGTTTTGTTTTTTGTCTAAAACCAAAGAGGGCTTGTAAATTTGTCTCTTAGAAAGTACAACAAACACCCGATCTCCATTTTGGTTGATCTTATAAATCAAGGTTAGTTTCTTTATTTTTTTCTTTTAGTTACATGTTTTTAATTTTTAGATGATTTCAAGAAAAAATTATGGTAATTTTCTTATATATTTCTTTATGCATTGCAATTGTTTATCAAGTGTATTAGCATTATCCAAGTTAAATAGTTTAAGGTTAGAATTTTTTTATTTGTAATATAATGAATTATGTGCTGTTTTTGCATGTGATTTTTCTAATGCATTGCCACTATATATGTCAATATTAACATTATCTACGTTAAATTGTTTATGATTTTGATGTTTTTTTTTGTTTGTAATATTATGAATTGTTTGCTACTTATATGTTGGATCTTTCTAATGCATTGTCACTATATATATATCAGTATATATATTATCTAAGCTAAATGGTTTAAGGTCTAGATTTTTTTGTTAATAATATTATGAATTGTTTGATGCTTTTATGTGGGATTTATCAATAGCTTATGAATAAATTAACTTGATTATGTGCTTTATGCTTTGGTTTGCTCATTCTGTAACTATCTTTTCTTCAATTGTATGATTTTTTTTAATTATTGTTTGAAGAAACTTAGTTCAGTCCATGTCTGTTACATTGCCTTTACAAAATTAACCTATTAATTGTATGTTAGAAAAAATATTTTAACCGATAACATGAAAGATTCTCAATTACAAGATAAGACTTGTTGGACTAGAAAGATGTTGAACATATTTTGTGATATATGTATCAAAACAATTGAGAAAGGTATGCAATTGTTTTAAGAAGCAGACTGACCATGCATTAACAAAAGCACAATTAATGAATAAATGGGATGGAATAAAAAAGGATTAGAGAATATGAAAAAAATTGATTTCTAAAACAAGAGTAGGCTGAAGTACTAAACTTGAAATAATTTTAGCAACTAACGAGTGGTGGAAATCTAAAATCAAGACTTATTTTTTTCTAGTACATGTACAAGTGCAATAAGCTATTTTATTATTTACTGTTATAATAGTTATGATGCATTTATATCTTCACTATTGCTTATTATAGGAGATACGAGGAGGTAGAAAGTTTAGGCATATTGATACCGATTCCACAATATATTGTTAATATGATATCATGTTTACAAATATTGTGGCTACTGATTGGCATGCTTGGACTCCATCACAGGGTTTGAATTCTAATGATAATGGTTTCGGTGAAAGGAAAAATAATGCATCTAATGAGGATCCATATCTAGAGGAAGGTAGTGGTGATTTAAAGGAGGATACTTTATTAAATTTTATAGAGGATGTCAATCATATGGTTGTTGGTGTAAATTTTGCTAACAGTACTAGCAATTCTAGTATTAGTGGGAAGAGAAAAGATTTTTAACAATGTACATAAAAGAGTGAAAAAAAAGGGTTTAGAAATGAGAGCGCAACTGTTTTTACTTTTAGATCGATTGTTGAAAGTGTATCTAGTAGGAGTGAATGCACATCAAGTGGTTGAGATAAAAAAAGATGTAGCATTGAAGAGGTCATGAAGAAGTTTCATTCTATTGAGGAAGTGGTTTTCGACAGTGAACTTTATTATTTTGCAACTGAGTTTTTTATAGTTAGAAGTAAGAGAAAAATATAAGCAGCAATTAGAGACAAGAAAAGAAAATTTCAATAGCTGAAATTCATATTTGAGGGGAGGTTAGATGCAAAACTTTGACTTAAGCGTAAATATGCTATAATGTACTTACACTTATTTATATTCTATTTCTCATCAATTGAAGTTGATTATGTTGTCATATGTTTTTTTACAGCATTACATGAATTTCATATTTCAAGTGAAAAGTTGTTGGATTGTATATAACACTGATTTTGTCAATGTATTTTAATGATCTATGAACATATTTTGGTGTTATATGTTTTCGTTGTTACAAGAGCATAATATGAATCTTTATGTTGATTTGCACTTCATGAGTTGATGTTGTTGTGTTGTTATAATATAGTTCAATGTATGAGATTAGTCATTGTTATTTTTCCGCATTTCTAATTTGTAACAAATACTATGTTGATGTATTGCTTTTTATTTGTATTTATTGGATAATGGTTCTTGTTCGAGAGTTGAAAAATATGTTGAAATGCTTTTTATTAGAAACTAGAATTATAGGTGTTAAATGTGGTTAGAATGACTGTAAACATTTGGGCTGTGTTTGATTTTGCAATCTGGAATTGGATATTGAAATTTGTAAGTTTAAATAGTTATTAACATGTTAACTATTTGCTCTGGGAGTTTGAAATTGTTAGTGTAAAGTTATTAAAGGATGGTATTTGTACATTTGTTTCTTTATATCTTTTATTGCTTATTCAAAGCATAATTTCAATTTCAGCACATTCATTTAAGTTGCCAACATATAACAAGCACTACCACTTGAATTGCATTATTTTGAGAAGGTTAGTTATCAATTTTAAAATTATATAATAAATTAGTTTTATGTACAATTAGAGCTTTGTGTTTACTTTCTTTTTTTATATCCTTATTCCTCCTCAGTTAATTGCTTTCATTATCGCAAACTTAACTAAATTCATAATTGATAAGTATGCTTGTGATGCACGCAATATTGTATTCATTAATTATTACTAAAAAATCTATGATAATTTGGGAATACTTTATAATTATTGTTTTGGTTTATGTTTAGGTTGACATGAAATTTTAATATTTAAAACAAATTCCTCCATATACATGTATTTATAATAATTTCATGAGTGAAAATTATGTTGTGTTGAAGATATGGATGTGAATTGGTTTAATAATCTATTTGATGATGAATATGACAATGTAATGAATAATGTTGTTCAGTATGTGTCAGATGGTTTTGATGGTACAAAAACTAGAAATAGTTTTAAATATAGTAGCGGTGTTGGTAATGAAAATAATATAGATGATGATGACAACAATGTAAATACACATGATAATAATGAGGAATATAATTTTTTTTAGCTTAGAGAGTGTGATTGTAATAAATTAATATTATGCATAGCTGAAGCATTGACTTTGTATTATAGCAATTATATTTACAAAGAACCATGCATGGTTTTATACAACACAGGAATGAGATGGTTGAATGATATTTTTTTTCAATCCATCATTCCCCATATGGATGCAGACAATTGCAAAGTTTGTGCATTAATTTGGAAATGTTTTGCGGGCTAAAGTAGTATAGAAAGATGAATGTTATTAAGAAATTATGTATGTTTCTCTATACTTTAACTCTAAGAGTTTCAAATAATGAAGTTCATGAGAGATTTTAACATTCAGGTGAAACCGTAAGTAGATATTTTAATGAAGTTCTTAGGTTGGTGTGCTTATTAGCTGTTGATTCTATCAAACCAGTAGATCCA